AGAAATGCCATAAAAACATGTAAACAAGGTATCAGAACTTTGGTTCACTGAAACCACTCACACCGAAAACATCTGAGGTACAAAGGCACCTTGCTAGGTGCTAGACAGCCTGACTCTGCTGCAGCCACTCTGACCCAGCCTTTGTGGCCAGAGGTGGCACAGGGTGACCAGGGAGGTCAGGACCCAGGTCACCTGGGACCCTCCCAAGTCAGCTCTCCTTTGCTCCAGACAAACATTCACTCCAACAAAGACCCAAGTGACAGGGCCTGGAACATACAAAGGTGTCTGTCATGTTGAACTTGAGGATGACATGGGCTGTAGGGCCAGGAAGGGGAGGGGCAGAAAAGGAAGTCAGTCAACTTCTGTCGATCCACATGGCCTCAAGAATTCCTGTCCTCGTTCATGGAACCACTTATTTGAGACTGTGAACAGAAAGAAAATATGTTACAATCCTGTTTAGTTTAGCAGCCAGAATGAATGACTCCTTCATGATGAATCCTGCACTGGGCCTTGGGACTCAAACATGAGTAAGGTATGCTCTCATACCTCAAGTTGCTCATGAGCTGGTAAGGAAGACCTATGTATAAATAGGTAACTGTTCAAAGGTGATAAAAGATACATATGTGTACATTGCCATGGAAACTGAACCAAAGGGCACCTAACCATGTGAGGGAAGAGGAGACTCCAGGCTGGGACATGGTGCTGCACAGGAGTTATCCAGGGGAGAAGATGGATATACCAGATGATTCCTTTATCAAGGGGGTCCAGGAAGTGGGAACAGGATGAGAAAGACATCAAGGCATGAACCACCCTGGTGTGTATCAAGGACCCCAAGCAGCTTGTATTGCTGGGAAAGAACTGAGATACAGAAGCTAAGGACGAGGAAGACTGTCCTGTCAGGACTGTGGAGGGCCTCGACGTCAACCTCAAGACCTGTGGGCCAGCGACCCGGTGTGTGTGCTGTGGGCAGCAGAGGCGCCGAGCTGGCCAGCACTGTCTGTCACCTAAAGCTGGGCCTCCAATCCACGCGAGCCACGAGTTCGTTCCTTAACACAAGACTCTTAGAATGACAAAACAAATTTATCCTGAGGCACTACTGAAGCCACAGAGCTTTTAAAATATAAATGTACCTAGGTGAAAAAAATTAAAGTGTCTACAAAGCTTATAATGATAAACAGCAATCTCCTACCCACCCCTTCCACTGCCAAACCCCACTTCTAGAGGACACTCACCTCCTTTAGTTGTTTCTTCTGATACTCAACCACATATTTCTAAACAACATGCTTATGCTGCTATCTCTTGACTTCCAATTTTGGAATTCTTTTATACTACCCCTAAAACACATACTTATCACCTCCTATCTTCCCAATAGTATTAAATCACAAATTTTAATTAAATTAACATTCAGTGCTTACATTATCATGTCACATAAATGTTGCTCATGCCTGAGCCACCTAGTAGTGTATGCTGACATTTCTCATACAACTTTTTCTTTTCCCTGAAGTCAGCAATTGCTTCATTTAGTTTCTAATTGCTTAATTTTCTGTGAACCTACCACTATTACCCCCAAAACTCTCCAAGAGGGTATAAACTCCTCTGTCTGCAATCACTTCCTATCATCCTGGCCCAAGTCTCTCCCTGGTTCACCACAGCTGCTTCCAGAACAAAGCTCCAGCTTCAGCCTCTGAAGTTTGGTCCCAGCCTTGAGCCTCATCTCATGGCCCCTGTGCCAAAGGCCTCCCCTAATGCAAGTGACAAAGGCAGCTGGTCCCCACACCCATTATGCCAGTTTTAGTGTAGGCCTTGTTCCAAGTGAGCCTTGCTTGCCTGGGTCACCCCTTCCCCATTCTGATTCCAGTTCTCTCCCACTGCTCCCTCAGAACCCCTGCCAGAGTCCACTCCTCTGGGAGCCATCCTGGACCTACAATGGTTGTGTACCTATTCTTCCTTGGAGCTTCCTCAGCTCTGTGGGCATCTCTGAGCATGTTCCCAACCAGCCCATAATCAGCTCTGTGGACAGCTACATGGCTGGATGAGACAACCAGTTAGCAGGGAGAAAAGGAAAAACTCAAAAAGGAAGACAGTCTTGGCACTGTGAAAATAGGGCAGCAGGTATCTCCCAACTCAGGGTCTAAGGCTGACCACAAGAGCCCAGGCTGAGACCACCAAGCCACTCACCCCACTTGCAGCCCACAAGCACGGGACAGGCAGCGTGTCTCGTACGGTAGTCACCTTCCCCGCTCCGCAGGAGGTTGTACCAGAATACGGCTGTGCCCTAGGAAAAAGAGACAGCCCGGCAGACAACACTCTTAGATTTGGGGCTCAAGGACCCGACCGTGAACACCTCCCTAAGCAGAAACACCCTCACTTTCCCATGTACAAAGGGACAGGGCTCTGGCATTCCAACAGCACAGAAGTATCCACCCTTCATGGTGGGGCAGATGTCTAATAATCCACCTTCCCCCAAAGGGACTTCCCTTCCCAGCCCATCTCCCCAGATGGAAGCTGAGGCCACAATGTCAGAGTTCAGGCAGGAAGGGGCTAAGGCCTCTCACAGTAAGAGTCAAGCAGGCCAGGGAATGGGAACAGAGCTTCAACCAGTGACCCACTTACCTTCTTAGGCCAAATTGCAGCCCCCAGATCAGGAAAAACAGTGGCACCACCAGCTTCTACATCACTCATCTGAGAACACAAGGCATAGAGCTTGGCCCTTGTACTCAAAGCTCTCAGAGCAGCTGAGCCACAAGGACACAAGCATGCAGATTACCTTTCTCTGAGCCGGAGTGGCACTGCTTGAAGGCTCTGCTCCACAGCCGGCCCTTCGGCCAAGAAAAGCGCATCCCATGCATTACCCCTCCCTAAACCCTGCTTAATCTACGCAGTTCATCAGGATAGTCCCAGGCCAGGGGCACTTGAGAGTGGTAGCCCTGCAGGAGACCCAAATCCTGGCTGTCCTCGGATGGGAACAATCTGAGTCTGGACATGGAAAATGCCTGACTGACCCCCCGTTCTTGCATCACCATCCAGCCTGGGCCACGCCGAAGGCACCGTGCCCTGTGAGTTGCCCTAGCCCGAAGCTCCTTGCTGCTCCCAACACCATCTGTGGCCCCCACTGTGGGCTCTGTTTCTCTGGTTCTAGCAGCCCTCCCCAGGCCCAGCTAGGTGAGCAGACAGGGTGTGGTTCCACAGGCCCTGCTTTCTCCCAGGGAGGCCCCAAACTAAATAGAACACAAGCTCCACAGTAGGGAGGCTACACTTATGCCCACAAAATGTGCCTCAGCTCATGCCCAAGGCACCACTTCGCTCTCATCTGGCTGTCTTACTTCAAGTTTCTTGTCTATAATGTAATAAAATGTGGAGTTTTAAAAATATTTCCACAGGATGCATGCCAGACAGACTAAAGAGCACTCAACAGACATATGGTAAACGAATAAGATGAAAACCTTTGATGGCTTCCCACAGCCCTGGGGATCAAATCCAGGCTCTCTTCTAGAACCCAAAGGCCCTGTCAGTCTCAGCAGCCATTCTCTCTCCAGCCACTCTCGCCTCAAGCGCTGCCTCTGAGTCACACCAGTCTTCTTCCCTTTTTCCAACATCCCCAGCTCCTTCCCTCTTCCAGGTTTCCACACATTCTCCCCTCTGCCAGAAAGCATGTTCCACCAACTAATTTCCACTCAACCTTCAAGTCTCCACGGACACATTATTCCCCAGGGAGGCCTTCTCTGAACCTCAACCCTGAGCCACTTTTTCAAGGTATTTGTCACCATGGTAACTCAATAAATTACCTCTCCGATGGTTAAAGCAAGTCCCTCATATTAGACCGTAAACCCCATGAGAGACTCCACGTGTCCTGCTCACCAGCACGTTCATGGCCAGCCCCAGAACATAATAACCACACACAAAGCTTAAATGAGACACCAAAGGAAAAGATGGCCACAGGCTTCTGCCTCTAAGTTACTTGACAGTTTGTATGCCTCTTCAGAGCGGGCTCTCTAAGCAGAGGGGAAAGCAAATTGCTCCTCGTGTGAGAGGTAAACCCAATGGCCTGTGGCTGAAGCACAGGCAGCAGACGGGAGGCAGGCCATTGAGCTCTGGGGAAACAAAGGCATCTTTCATTTAAGAGCACGTCATGGCAGCCTCCTCACTCTGCCGCCAAGGAGGGAACTCTCCAGAGCACTCACCCCAAAAATCCTGACTAGCACTGGGCCCATCAAAAGGAGCCAGGGGTATGGGCGAGCACACAGATGGGAACACAGGCCAACTCTCTCCTCCAGCCAAGAAGAGTGCTGAGGGCCAGAAGGAACCCAGCCACTGAGCGACAGCTGGTGGTATCAGCCCTGGCAGGAGTGGATATAAGATAGCACTCTGGACCCAGGGTCCCCGAAGGCCCATTTGCTGCATGCATCATACTCACGTAGTTTAAGAACGTGGCCACACGATTCCCCGTCCCTAAACGCTTGAAAGCATCTTGCTCATTTTTCTATAAAATTAAGTGAGAATGAACAGTGGACCTGGCCCCAATACTTACATAGTTAAGAAACGTCGCTAACCTATTCCCCTCCGTTTTGAGGCCGCTGTCAAAAGGTCGCTGCAACAAACAACAACTTTCACCCACGTTTGCAGACGGTTCCACCCCCCACTCACAGGACTGGGAGCAAAAGGGTCAAGGGAGGACACTAAGCGTGTGTTCCATACATCAGCCTGGACCACGGACCAGAGCTGCAAAGGAAACACAGGGGAAGGGGGGCAGGAACAGCTTTCACAAAGACCTAGTCAGGGCTGATGCTAAGTCATGGCACAGGGAAACAGCCAGGATGCACTGGGCTCCACAGGCCCCGTGCTTCCTGATTTGGACTTTTCCAGGAACAAAGACTTGGTCCTGGTAAGGCATGGGGAGTGGGGGGAGCTGATGTAGAGGCTGAAATACTCCGAGAAACTCCCAGCTTTCTCAAATCAGCTGGAACGGGGCCCTGTGGAAACACCCATGGTTTGGGCCTTACCCTAGAGAAGTCAAAATGTGGCTCGTACTGTCCTCCCATTCCATAATTAGCAACCTGGTGGGAAAGAACAGCATTGGACTTTGTCAGCAGCATGAACAGTCCTGAAGCAGCCCATCTCCCCAGGGATACTGTCTCCCCACAACAACCAAAACAACCTGCATTCCTTAATAACCAGAACCCCCAAGTGCACCCTCTCGAAGGTGGATGATAACTACGCCCTGCCAGCACTGGGACACCGAACACATCAAATGTATCCACGGCTGTGTCCAAGAGTCTGGCCGCAGCATAAACGGGGTTTCCCAAACACAACAAAATGGGCAACCTGCAGAGGGCCATGGCGGAGAAGCTCCAGCCCTTCAGGGACACTCAGAGGGCAGAAGAGAGCGCCTTCCATTGAGGCAGGCCCTGGCCGGGGCCCTGTGTGTTTGCAAGATAACAGGAAGGTAATCCAGAGGAAATCCAACAAGAAACTCAAGACAGGAACGTTGTTCTTATACTAGTTTGGGAGCTCCTGAGGACCTGACGCTGCTCCTGCCCCAGGTCACTGCGCCCTGGTTGCTGTTCCTGGTCAAAGGGAGCAGAGGGAACAGATCCCACTCCCTCTCACAGTGGTTCCCTGTACGGTCAGTTCTGCATCCAAGTGAAACAACAGGACCTGGGCAGCCGATGACCGCCTCAGCGTCCCTGGTGGGAGCCTGGGCCTGGAGCATGACCGGAGCCATCTTGGCTTCCGCAACTACCAGACGTCAGTAACTGGATTTATAAGCTGTAAACGCCTGACTGAACAGTTTATCAGCACAATGTAAGTCTTAACCAACTGAGCCACCCAGGCGCCCGCACAATGTAAGTCTTAAGTCACAAACAGTTATTCTAGCCTCAGTGGACAGAATGAGAGACAGAGTTCAAGACGAAGTACAGTATCTGATAATGGAAGCTGATAGATCAAGTGGTACCACCAATGTCCATCTGGGAACATTTGGCACTGTATTGTACTGAAACCCTAAAAACCTCTGGGCCTCAGCTATCGGTGTTCAGGAAGTTGGTATTTTTTTGCATATCCTTTTTTGGCGATTCCAACAGTCCGATGTGAGATTCTGCAAAACTGGCAATAATGGAGACCTAGAGACATGAGGGAGAGAGAAGGAGGGGGGATACTTTACAAGAAAGGAAATCCTCTTATTGCAAAAGAAAGCAATATCTATCAAATGTGATGTAGTGTCAGAATCTGCACAGCATGATTTTCAGTGTGCGCAATACTAAATATTTTGATATGAAGAATCGGTGGACGAAAACATGCTATCATAGGCTGCTTCAGCCTTCAAGGTGCCTGCACCAGAATACCTGGAAATCCTGCCAACAGTGCCAGGAGGCCAGGTTCAGCAGGTGGCCCTCAGGCTGGAAGCACATCTAAGGAAGGAAGGGCTTCAGCAGTTGATAAAGCGATAATACAAACACTTTCCTTGGGTCCACTTGTTGAGAACTTGGAAGAAACTTTTAAACATGACTGGGATTAGCGTGCCAATGCACTCTGCAAAATTTGATCACCGCTTGCTGTTGGACCTGCAGAGAATGACTGTACTTTCCAATACTCCCATTTGCGGGATGGGATGCTTAAACTTGCAGACCCCACAGAGTGACAGAAGCCGCATCGTTATAGCGGGCTTATCTTTTAACAGTTTTGGGAATCACATTTGATCACGTGCTGATGCTCTTGTGTCTACACTATTTAACACTGTCCCCAAAGAGTGTAAGTGTCATGAGAGCTTGTGGATTTGCAATCAGATTCACCATCTGGGCAAACTCTGGGCCCAGACTCACAACTTTAGTAACAAGCAACTGTACATCAAAATGGATTCCTTGGCTAAAATTAACAAGTCAGGAAATGACAGATGTTGGCGAGGATGCGGAGAAAGGGGAACCCTCCTACACTGTTGGTGGGAATGCAAGCTGGTGCAGCCACTCTGGAAAACAGTATGAGGTTCCTCACAAAGTTGAAAATAGAGCTACCCTCTGACCCAGCAATTGCACTACTGGGTATTTACCCCAAAGATACAAATGTAGTGATCTGAAGGGGTATGTGCACCCCAATGTTTATAGCAGCAATGTCCTCAATAGCCAAACTGTGGAAAGAGCCCAGATGTCCATCAACAAATGAATGGATAAAGAAGATGAATGGTGTATATATACAATGGAATATTATGCAGCCATCAAAAAAATGAAATCTTGCCATTTGCAATGACACGGATGGAACTAGAGGGTATTATGTTAAGCGAAATAAGTCAATCAGAGAGACAATTATCCTTTGATTTCACTCATACGTGGAATTTAAGAAACAAAACAGATGAATGTATGAGAAGGGAGGGAAAAATAAAACAAGATGAAACCAGAGAGGGAGACAAATTGTAAGAGACTCTTAACCCTAGGAAACAAACTGAGGGTTGCTGGAGGGGAAGGGGGTGGGAGGATGGGGGAACTGGGTGATGGGCATTAAGGAGGGCACATGATGTAATGGGCACTGGGTATTATACACAACTGATGAAATCACTGAACTCTGCCTCTGAAGCTAATAATATACTATATGTTAATTAACTGAATTTAAATTAAAAAAAATAAATCCCCCACCAAAAAAAACTGATTCCTGTGGGGAGGCATTCATTTGAATCATTAAGTGTGTTGTTATAAAAGTATAAGAGCCAGTCATTTGAAAACCATGGGTATTTATGGTACTGAGGTCAGAGTGAAGACAAAAAAAATAAATGGTCAGAAATTACTAAGGCTAAGACATCAAGTCAGAAGTGCCTTCAGTCTTAGAGAATTCTGGCAGTGTGGCATCTCTTCCACTATCAGACAAGCCTTCATCCAGTTCAAAAGAAAGCCTTAATTGCTCTTTTTCTTCCAAATGATCCATTGCAAACACATCGACTACAGGTGAAAGAGGGTCAACAGGAAGCAGAAGAACTAGCTCTTTTCCAGGAGCCTGTAACATTCTGAGGGACCATGGAGTTCAGGCTCTTGCTGGTGCCTAGGCACTGATTATACTGCAACCAGTCCACACTGAATGAACACTTAGAGGGAGGTGCTGAAACCTAGGTTCCTGTCCCTCAGACCATGCAGGGTCAAAGCTTTCAACACTGCTGGCTGGGGCAAAGGAAATGCCAAGACAGTTCCTAGAAGAAGAAGAAGGCAAACAAAAATGGGGCCTCAGCCCCTGAGCAGCTGTGGTCTGGGTCTTCCAGAAGAGCCCTGACTTTAAGAGCCCCTCCACGCGGAGTCCTGGCATTCAGATCCCACTGATCACTGACCTACAACATGATGACAGGCCAGACAAGATGGAGGCAGGGTTGTGGCAGAGAAGCCCGTCCAAGTACGAAGCTGCTGCCTTCTCCGCTGCATGTGATATAGGGTTCAGAGCGTGGAGCCAGGGAGCCAGCTGGGAGGGCAACCGGGACACAGGTCCCATCCCGTCTCCTCAGCCCACCGGTCAGGGTATGGAATCAGCCAGTCAAGCAGAATGCTGTCCTCGATGGGGGCCAAGAGAGTCCTATCACTGGCTCTGACAGTGGCAGATGTCCTAATAGTCCTGCTCCATGAAGATAGGAATCACAACAATGCCAACAGAGATGTACCTAGTGCACTCACAGTCCCTACTGCTCCTGAAATGGTGGAAGTGGGAAATGTGGCAGAAGTCCTCTACTGAAGTGCTTGTTTATGGGACCACCTTAAAATTAAATTAAGCTTGGGGCACCTGCATGGTTCAGTTGGTTAAGCATCCAACTCTCGATTTCTGCTCAGGTCACGATCTCAGGCTGGTGAGATTGAGCCCCATGTTGGGCTCTGCCCTCGGTGCGGAGTCTGCTTGAGATTCTCCCTCTCCCTCTGCCCCTCCCCTTGCTCACACTCTCAAATAAATAAATAAAATCTTTAAAAAAAATTAAATTGGGGCACCTGGGTGGCTCGGTTAAGCATCTGTCTTTGGCTCAGGTCATGCTCTAAGGGTCCTGGGATGGAACCCCGCGTCAGGCTCCCTGCTCAGCGGGGAGTGTGCTTTTCCCTCTCCCTCTACCCCTCTCCCCAGCTCATGTGCACATGCACTCTCTCAAATAAATAAATAAAATCTTAAAAAAAGATTAAGTTTATAAACTCAACACTAAACTGGACTGAACTGAAGATTATATAAAATTTTCACAAGACTGAAAGGTAATCAGCATGTTTTTAAAAACTGGTAGATTTCACACAAATCCATAAAGAGGACCTTCAAAACTGGTTTTCTGATTGCTGACACAGCTAGAGAAAAAAAAAAAAAAATCAGTGATTTGTTTGAGTGTATCCAGGCAAAAGTTCAGAGAATCTTCCAAATGATCTTCAGTTCAATATTCTAATGAAATCTATGGTTGCCAAGCCTAAAGGTCAAAGGTTCAATCCTTAAATACACAGAAACTCTGGCCAGACAGACCCAGGGGACTCTTTAAAAAATGCCAGCAAGGGGCACCTGGGTGGCTCAGTCGATTATGCATCTGACTCTCAATTTCAGCTCGGGTCATGATCCCAGGGTCATGGGATGAAGCCCTGCATAGGGCTCCGCGCTCAGCGTGGAGTCTGCTTGAGATTCTCTCTCTCCCTCTGCCTCTGCCCCTTCCCCTGCTTGTGTGCGCACACACACGCTCTCTCAATAAATAAATAAAATCTTTTTAATAAAATGTAAAAAATGCCAGTGAAACTTCTCTAGCAGTGTCTCAGGTCACCACTTTACAATAGAACCCAGAAGTTCCAACGTTCAGAAGGGAGCATGGCCAAAACTGATTTAAACTCAATATATACCAGAGGATACATTATTAGGAGCTCTACCCAGCTGCCATGTGTCTTCACAATCACCTTTGAAATAAAGGCAGAAAGCCAGGGTTCCACAGGAGCTACAAAGCTCTCCACTCTCATCAGCACCTCCTGACCTCTCACTTTTCCTACCAATGTATCACAGAACACTTTACCTCCAAGTGCATGTGAACCAGGTGCATCGGAACTATGACCTCTAAAGATATTTATAGCTCTCTTAGAAGTGTCCCTAAAACAACTCAGGATTTCAGCTTCCATAGTCAAGAGATACAAATGGGTCTGCCATGCCCACCCCTGGCCCCTAGCTCCTAGTATGATACTTGGGCACACAAAAGATAATCAATATCTGTTGAATGATAACTATTGGAATGACAGTGGGCATGCTTAATTCTAGCTTCCCTGTGTGAGGTCACTCCATATCCAAAGCACCGTGCAGTCATACATTTCACTGGGTAAGCCCCCTAAGCCTGGCTCTGGGCACCCTGCAAGACCACCTAGCCAGAAATACCCACTTCCCAACCCCAGGGTCCCGGGAGCCAGCCATACCTGCAGCAGTTCTGCAGTCTTTACTGTGAGCCCTGTGATGTGCTGCATCCGAAGATTCACTCGAGCCACAACAGGGTCATCGTCCTCCTCCAGCCATGAGCTAAGCCAAAAGAGGGAGAGAAAGGAAGATGGGGAAGGCAGCTTAGATGAGGTCTCGTACTCTCCCCCCAGAGTCAGAGCCAGCATGAACAAGCAGCACAGGATGAGTATTCTAAGTAAGGAAGGTGTCGGCAGGAAGGACAAGCCAAGCCAAGCTCCCTTGAGTGAAACGAGGAAGCCCTGGAGATAGGGCTTGAGCTGCCACCCCACCACCACCACCCCACCACCGCAACCACCTCTGCTAACCTTTTGGAAACCCTGTAGCTGGCAACAGTGAGGACGCCTGTCTTGGGATCACGAACAGTGGCTCGTGCAAGCTGGAAGGCAGGAAGAGAGGGCAGACTTATCCTTTTTTGCCTTGAGTGTTTTCCTAGAGAGACTGGACCAGCTCTGCCATTCAGACCAGTGGGGGAAAGGAGTTTTTCAGGCAGTTGGCCCTAGACAAGGCACCGTGATCCTGCAAGCCAGGCAAGGGCAGGAGTCTAAGGCCCCCACATTTCCTGCTCTGCTGTCACGCCCTGGCCACTGCCCTGCTCTCAGCCAGGTCTGTGCTGTCTGCAGAACTATGCCTCTGGAGTCCCCTTTGTCCACCCACCCACCTGCCTGGACAGACTGCTTTCTCACCAGGCACACGTACCGCCCCTGCCTGAGCACCACCTGTGCGCAGCTACTCCCACCACATTCAGACCCCGTCCCTGATCCTCAACCTTGTATGCTCCTCTTGACCCGCTCCTTCTCAACCACAGCAGTTTCCTCTGCCAAGAAACCTACCCAAACACCCTTCTGCTGCAGCAGTTCACACTGGGCTCCCACTGCTGTGAAGAGCAAAGATAGAAGGCACACTCTCTACTCGCTTAGGAGCCTCACAGGGTCAGATGATAGAATCTGGAAAGGACTGTACAAATTGAAATATGTGATCTGCTGCCTGGAAGCCACGTACCTCCACATGTATGCTAACACACACACATCCACGAACACCCCTAACCTACCTCATACCCTCCCGATCTCCACAAGACAGGTACAGTGACGCTCCCAGGAAGCACTTGCTGCCCAAAGGCAGCTCACCATGCTTCAGCTGTGTACTGTCCTAATGACCTCACATGGGTGGGACCATAGACCCCACCCCAACAGCACTTCCCCCTAATTTCAATAAATACTTACTGAGTGCCTACTATGTGGCTGGCGTTACACTGGGTGACCAAGACATGGCCCCCAGGGGGGAGAGCTGGGAGCAGGGTAAGCTTCATGTCTGTGGGAGCTCAGTCTATACAGTCGAGAATGGTCAGGGCAAGACCACCCAGCTGAGACCTGAGGGGTAAGCAGGAGTTAGCCAAGTAGGGGAACATTATAGGAACAGGGAAGGAACAGCAATGCAGAGGTCCAGGCACGAAAATGGGTGTGACACCATGACTGTGGATAAGAAGAGGCCAAAGAGGCAAGTGGAGACGGCCTGGAAGCAAGCTCATGGCAAATGAGAAACAGGGAAGGCAGGTAACGGACATTCACAATCAGAATGTGGACAGCTCGTGGAAAGCTGACTAAGGAAGGGCTGGAGTGGTAACAAGGCAGCCAGAGAGGAGCTCAAGGCAGAGCTCAAGGCAAGAGCCAATGGCAGAAGGGATGGGGAGGTGTGGGCAGAGCAGAAGACTGGCCAGGAGATCACCTAGCCAGGACACTGCACCCAGCTCAGGCATTGTGGCAGTGCACCGAGGACAGAGGACTTCCCTGAGCTCCCAGCTATGACTGCTCCCGATGACAAGTGCAGCTGCAACTAAGCCCCATCCAAACATCTGAGCCTCAGTGCTGGCCTGGCATCCACAAGGAGGCTGTGGGCAGCCGTGTTCTGCTCCCAGAGATAGGCATGGCTATTTTGAAAGCAGGCCAGGGACCCAAAAAGGCAGCTGCCAGGCATTCCCCGCAGGCCAAGTTAAGCTCATGGGCCCTACTTCAAAGCCATAATAGCATCTGTCCCTCACAGGCTCCGGAAAGGAGAGGTCAGTTTGTAATGGCCCATGCCATGGCTTCTATTCAAAGACAAGTTTTCCCAACACTCCCCCCACACCGCCCCTGCCACACATGTGCACCACACACCCAACACGAATACACACACAGAAATGTTTCAGTGCCTTGGCCTGAGGGACAACTGAGGAACCTCTCAGGAGGTCCTAGCAGAACAAAGCCTCTCTCACCTGGCAACCAGGGAAACAGTTTTCTTCCCTGGAGGACTTTGCAGCTGACCCAGGGAGTGGAAAGGGTGGGTCCTGGTCCCCATTCTCCACACACACTGGCTAGACCATCCCTCAGCAACCTCAATGGCTGAGTCTGGGCGCTAGATGTCCTTGTACCTCAAGCCAAGGTCGCTTCATGATGAGGTGCAGGGGGGCCAGGATAGGAACCTATTTTCCGTCTCTCCACGAGTGTAGGGCCTCCTGGCCACTACAAGTCTATTAGGTGCAGAGCAACAGAGGATCCAGCTAAATGCCCCCCTTGTAATCACCAGTGATAGGAAAAGGGTGGGGACATGGCTGGAAGTGGTTCTACTTGAATGACGTCAAATGGGAGCAAATCTTCTATGAACTAGAAATACAAGAATAATTTTACAGCCTAATGACGTATATATGAAACTAACAGCCAACTGCATACTTAGACATGAAATACCAGAGGAATCTCCAGGAAATTCAGGAACAAGACCAGGATGCCAAATGTTAACAATGCTCAAGGAGTTCCAAGCAGTTCAACAAGATGATAAAAACAAAGGGACTATGATTATTAGGAAGGAGAAAACAAAATTTTCCTTATTTGCAGCTGATGATGGTGTCCGAACGACCAAGAGAGTCAGCTAAAACCTGAAAGAGGAATAAGGAAGTTGAACAACTAGCTGCAAATCTGTACAGGTCTGCTTCCCTGTGGGTAAAATGAAGACAATGACAGTGTACTTAACAGACGAGATAGTTTATATATGTTAAGCACTTAAAACAGGGCCTGTCACACTTAAGAACTCAGAAAACAGGGGCACCTGGGTGGCTCAGTCGTTAAGCGTCTGCCTTCGGCTCAGGTCATGATCCCAGAGTCCTGGTATCGAGCCTCACATCGGGCTCCTTGCTCAGCGGGAAGCCTGTTTCTCCCTCTCCTACTCCCCCTGCTTGTGTTCCCTCTCTCGCTGTGTCTCTCTCTCTGTCAAATAAATAAATAAAATCTTAAAAAAAAAAAAAAAAAAAAAAGAACCTGACTCTTGATTTCAGCCAGGGTCACGATCTCAGGGTTGTGAGATCGAGCCCCGAGAAGGCTCCGCATTCAGCAGTAGTCTGCTTGAGATTCTTTCCCTCCCCACCGCGTTAAACTCACTCACGCATGCTCTTTCTCAAATAAATAAATCTTAAAAAGAGAACTCAGGGGCGCCTGGCTGGCTCAGTTGGTTAAGCGTCTGCCTTCAGCTCAGGTCCTGATCCCAGGGTCCTGGGATTGAGCCCCATGTCAGGCTCCAAAGGGAGCCTGCTTCTCCCTCTCCCTCTACCCCTCTCCCCTACTCATGTTCTCTCTCGCTCACTCTGCTCTCTCTCTCTCCAATAAATAAATAAATCTTCAAAAAAGAACTCAGTAAACGTTACCTGTTACTATAAAATATACTTTTATTTTCAATACTTCAGCATATGATATAGTAAGCTAATAAAACAAGGTAACCAGTAAAAATATGATGGAAAAACAAAAAAAAAACTACCTAGGAATAAACCTAACAAGAAATGTGCCGGGCATGTATGAAGAAATTTTACAAGATATGAATAAATGGAGAAACCCGGAGTGCTTGTGGATAAGACTGAATAGTGTAAAGATGTTCATTCTCCAAGTCAATCACTTCTTCGCAGTACTAACTGGGAGCTCCACATGACCCAGGATGGCAGCACCCTATGGTAGTTCTCCAAAACTCGCCCACACACCAGCCCCCGACCAGGTGAGCTGACACTACCCGCTGTGGACCTGCCCTGCTCCCAGGGAGTCCTTCTGTCATAGCACCTGGCTGTCCACATTGGTTCCTTCAGTTTTCTTTGCCCTTGGACCGTGAACCCACAAGGTCAAACTGAGTCTGCAGTACCTCAGGACCCAGACAGCAGACTCATGCTAGACACTGGCAAAGGCCAGTGGAGTAAGCAAACAAACCACCCCATGATCCCGGGGATAAGGAGCCCAGGAAGGAACTGCAGAGACACCTACTTTGGGTTTCGCGATCTCCTTGATCCTCTCAATTTCCTCATCAGACATGACATCGTAGTACCTGACGATGTGTGGGCTGTCCCACTCATCCTCCTCTTTGAAGGGGGCAATGAGGAGCTGCGGCGATCTGTTGCCATGGTGGTACCTACAGAAAAGCCTCTTCTGCCTCCGGGGAGTCTGGGGAGCATACAAAGCAACAGGCTCTGAGCACAGTGAGTCCTAATCCTTGGCCCCAGGCTGGCTGGCTGCAGACCGGGTCTCAGAGCCCGCGCCCATCAGCTGCTCCCTCCTGCCTCACCACAGAAGCAAACAAAGCCCCACAGCTTGACTGAGAGAAACAATACCCCACAAATCATGTAATGTTTCCTCTCTTGCAAGAATTCCTCTCATCCACAAGTCCTGGGGCACAAGCTTAATCCCTAACTCTTCTCACAGAGATACGAGTAGGTGAGAAGGGCTGAGGCGGGGGAGAGGCCTTCTAGGTGGAGAAGCCACTGGGAGGCACACAGATATAGACACGGATGAGGCCCAGAGACCGCCTCATACCAGAGCCTGCTGAGGAAGCACTGGAGTCCCAGGGCTCTCAAAAATCAGTGACACCAGGGGCGCTTGGGAGGCTCAGTCGTTAAGTGTCTGCCTTTGGCTCAGGTCATGGTCCCAGGATCCTGGGATCGAGCCCCTCGTCGGGCTCCCTGCAGCGGGAAGCCTGCTTCTCCCTCTCCCACTCCCCCTGCTTATGTTCCCTCTCTCGCTGTCTCTCTGTCAAATAAATAAATAAAATCTTAAAAAAAAAATTTTTTTTAAACAAAAATAAATAAAAAATCAGTGACACCAGAGACTGAGCTGTTAGCTACTGCCGCGTCTTCACGACGGAGACCACAACTTCCCATGGGGCACATCCACACCCATGGTTTTCCTCACAGCATGAGTCTAGCAGAAGCTGGGCATGTTGCGGTAGGGAGGGGAGCTCAGCAATAACTCAGAGGATTCAAACCCCGCCTGGGACATCGGGGGAGACAGTCTCCCGTCCTACACCTCAGAGAACACCCACCCGTCAGCCTCAGCAGATGCTACAAAGAACTGGGCAAGACACTGAGGAAACAGCCTACACATAGAGGAACATCCTCCCTAAAGCTGCCCATCCAGAGCCGAAGTCTAGGTCCACATGTGGGACCTGGCCATGCGTCTCACCAGTTTGACACCCTCCCCACGACAGAGGCTCTCATAGATGTCCCTCTCAGGCAGGTAGTCCACAGGCCTCTCATAGATGCTTTCCTGTGTGGCTAGTCCAACTTCTGTCTGATTTGATAACATTTTTTCTCTTTCTTCCTCCAACAACCGTTCAAAGTACCGCAGATTCCCTCCAGCTCGTTCATGGCTTGGGTCTAGAAAGAGCAAAGAACAAGAAGGAAAAGGAAACCACAAACATCTGTTAGGTCATTTAGAGAAATTATTCTGTAAGCGGTTTTCTCTCCCAGCAGCTCATTTGCACGCAGTATTGTGCTTTCCACAGCATCTAACCCGGGCTCGCTGGTCGGAGCTGAACAGCCAACACGGGCTCTCCCGGCTATCAGAGATGGGAAAGGAGCCACAGAGGAGGTCGCATAGCCAGCCACACAGGGGGCTCTCCTCTCAGGCCTCCCTGGAGGGCCCAACGGTGCAGGTCTAGAAAAGCAGTCCAGTCTCCTGCCGCCTCCTCCTGACTTGGCCGTGAGTCACTTACATCCGTTCCCTAGAGTACATCCATTACCGGTGACCAGATCACATGCTGGCCACAATGACAAGGCAGGCTGAAATCCTAGCAAAAAGAACAACCATATGACAATGCCATAGCCTCATCTTGTGGGCCTCACAACACAGAGGAGCAAGCTTGGCAGGATTACTGTGCCACTCCATAGATGAGGAAACCAAGGCCCAAAGATATTAATAGATTCAGGCTAAGGTTAGACTGAACAGGAAGCCAGGCCTCCTGAGTCCCAGACCAAGGCTCTTACTAACATGACAGCATCTATGAAGCTCTCCTCCCACATCAGTCTTGCAGGACACTCATAGGGTAGCGGGCATCAGACACAAGGCCCATGAAAAGCAGCAGCAAAAGAAAGTCTTTGCTGATCTGTGACATTCCAGACTATGATTATCCCATCTATCAGTAAGAGGTGGAACAGACAGGTTTTAAAGACACAGTGCTTTTAATCTCCTTTAGTCCAAGACCCTTACAACACCAATGCCACAGCAAGTCCCCCAGTAAGACCTCAGACCTCGAACTAACAGGTCAGGCCATGGTCACTGCAGCAATCCTGAAGCACGGTTTGCTTCCTGAGCTGCTCCTGACCATGTGAAGGCTCACCCTGCAGAGCAGCGGATGCACTGCACCACTGCATTCCTATTTTAAAAGGGAGTGTGTAAGGCCACAGGTCTGAGTGTATCCATAAGCAACTGGGCAAGGACTAGGGCCAGAAACGAGGTGGGTAAAGAGCTAACCAGCAGCTAGAACGGGCCTGAGAGCAGTAAGCCATTGGTCACTGGCCAGCAACATGTCAAACTGGCTCAGTCCCAGGAGATCGGCCAGCTAGTGGCCGATAGGTAGAGCTAGTGACTAGCTCTCGTGCCGGCCCCCCATCAGCTCTGACCTTCCCCTAGAACCTCCTTACCAAGAGAAAGCAGGCGGCGGGTGAGCTCCAGGGCACGGTGCAGGTCACCCAGCTGGAAGACAGCGTAGCTCAGGTAGTCCAGCACCTCAGCCTTGGCTATGGTGGCCTCCTCCCCAGCATCGAGCTGCTTCAGCACCTGCTCCATCCACAGGACTGTGTGGTAATAGTCACCTTCGTTGTAGGCAGAGCGGCCCATCCCAAAACAGTCATCCACACTCAGCATGGCCTGGTACTTGGTTCCTGCAGCAGGAAGGGCATACAGTCAGGCTCTAAAGAGCCTCTGGGCTATGGAGAGAGATTCCCACAGTGAGGAAGTCTGAGCCAGTGGAAGGGGGGCATCATCCCAGCAGAGTCCCACTGGGGCTTCAGGCCATGCACTTCCAAGTGAGCACAACCAGGTTGGGCCTGCCTCAGACTGGGGCTCACAGCCAATCCCCTGGCCACAGACTCCCCTTCTCCCATGTGGGAAGGGGCCTCTGTTGTGAAGAAGCCCAAGAAGCAATAGTATTCAGGAGAGTATGAAGGTCCTGTGAGCCACAGAGGAGATGTCTGCTGGGCAGCTGGCCCTAGGAGTCTGGAAGGTAGAAAAATTAGTTGAATAAAAAATACATAAAAATATTAAAAATGGAACTTAGGTGGCAGCTAAAGCCACGGATGAGGATAACTACTTCCAGCAAGAGTATGAAGAGAGAGGAGAGAACATGGCTAAGGCCAGAACCCTCCAGAGAAAGGACAAAGAGGAACGCTGAGCAGGACCTGAGAGGTAGCGCGAACAGACGCCAAGGGAGGTCAGAGCCAAGACTGCAGTGCCAGCTTTGATCGTTAGGTGGCGGGGACCTCGGTGAGCATCAATTCTGCAGGTCCTATGAGCACAGGTTATTTGCCATGGGCCTGGCACGGGAAAGTGACCTGAAGATAGTCTCAAGTCAAGAAGGATGAGATGTAGTATGCTACCTCTGGGAAAATGTAGGATTTAGGATAGGGGTGAGGTGGGAGGGGCCATGAGTGTACTCCTCAGGGAACAATGAAAAATCAGGCCCCATGCAGAGGAAGGAAGGGCTGTGACCCTCCCTGGAAAGCAGGGGAATCTCTGTTAACCCCATTAACAGACACCTAGGCATGGGTGACATGGAAGAGCTGCCTTAGAGGGGCTTCTTTCTGCCTGATGTCCAAGGTGGGGCTCTGTCCACAATGAAACCCCTACTGCAATGGGTCGGGTACTTCAGAGACTGGGGTCTGCTCACTGTGATACTGCAGCAATAGGGCAACGTGGGGTAGGAAGGCGAGGAGAGTAAACACAAGATGGAGTTAGTAGACGGGCTAGGGATCAAGGGGTTCCTTGATCCCTTGGGCCTCCACAGATCTCCTTTAGCTATGCAGTTCTCAGGAACTCACAATGACAGAGGCACTGTAACACCGCAGCTGAGCTAGCTGGACAAAGCTGGGTCTGTGTGGGCCTCGCTATGGCACCCACCAGCTGTGTGTGCCCTTGGATAATTTACTGAGCCTCTCTGAGTCGCAGTCCCCTTAGGTCTAGAGTTAATACCATCAATTTTAGAGAACTCCTGGCAAGAATTCACTGAGATGACATGTAAAGATGTCTTCTATGATCCCCAGGATGCCAAATGTCTCACAGAGGCTGAGGTCAAGAACAGCTCCCACATATTCAGCATCCTCCCCAGAAGCCCATCAAAAGTCTACCCCCTTGGAAAGCACTCTCTGGAGAGTGCCAGCACTGAGTGCTGAAAAGCAATCAGACAGACATGAGACTCAGCTGATGTGGGTAAAGCTATTCCTGCAGAGGGTGTGGGATGGACAAGGAAGCTAGGTGAGGGGTAGCTTAGTACAAACTTAACTTAGTGTAGGCAAGGGGGCCCGGGAGAGGGCACCATGCAAGACCTCAAAGACCACACATAGGAGGAACTTGGGTTTAGCAGTTAAAAGTTAAGCTTTGTGATCAGGAACTGATGTAAATAGGAGATGTGCTTAAGACCACACGGAGAATGATTTTAAGGAGTGAGCTGGAGATACGCGACAAGTCAAAACGTTATTTCAATAATCCAGTTGAGAAGTGAGTGACCATGAGTCTGGAGTCAGGGACTCCAAGTAAAGAAGAAGACATAAGACAGGTAGGATCCACGGGCCTTAGGATTCTGACGTGGGCTACCAGTGGACGGAGGTGCTGTTTGCTCAGGCAAGGAGCGAGGGAGGAGGGTAAACATTTCAAAAGGCAATGAGGATTTCAGTTTGGAACATGTGACTTTTGAGGAGTCCACAGAACACCCAAGTAGAGATGCCCCAAAGGCATTTGCCTTCACTGGTTGGAGGCTTGGCGGTAAGCCTTGATAGGAAACAGAGATGTGGATATCATCCATGTACATGCTATGGGAATGGCTGGGCTCACCTGGAGAAGGTGCTTAGGGAAAACTCTAAGAGAATCCTGGGGAATAACTCCCTTCCACCCTCCCTGCTCCTCCAGGACATGCAAGGATCTGTTAACTGAATGTACAACGTCAATGCTTGGGTGTGGCTCCCTCCTCCTACCAACCATTGTCACAGCTACAGCGTGAATACATCTTGCAGGTGCCCTGAGGGGCCTTCTCTCACTGGCTCTGGCCTGGCTTGATCCAAGACCTGACTGAGGCAGGAATTAAGAAGTCTACACTCCTTCCCAGTGGCTCACCAGACTCCTCAGTGCCCGATTCTAGGCCTTTCCTGGCCGACAACAGATTGCCTCTTTCTCCTACACACTGTGATTCCTTGGGTTTGTGCCTCTTTCGGGGCCCCATGGGCGAGTGGCATCCAAAGTCTAATGGGGTCTAACTGAACCCCTGGGTTTATTGGCCTCTAACAGTCCCCCAGACCCAATATATCTTCTTCTTAGCATACCGACGCAATCAGAAGAAAGGGGCCTGTTTAAAAAAAAAAAAAAAAAAAAAATGAGAGCGGAAAAGCCAGAAAAAGAAGCAATAGAGATCAGTGCCCCAGAATTCAAAGGAGGGAGAGCATCAGGAAGACTGGGACACTCAATGTGCCAAATACTGCTGAAAAATTTAAGGACATTATGCCTGAAACCCCAATGCTGGCTTTAGCAGCTGAGTGGCCACTGGTGACCTGGCAGGGACAGGAGCAGTGGATGGTGGGCAAAGAGGCCAGACTCTGCATGTTCAGGAGGACCTGGGAAGCAAAGAAGTGCAGAGCATGCGGCTGACTGTCCAGCAGCCTAGCCAGGTTAGGCTAACCAAGAGATCCATCAACAGCAGAGACTCAAAGGGCTTTGGGTCCTGAGGGAGGGGTTTGTAAGATGAGTAAGAACCCATGGTGTGTGTGAGATCAGGGGGAAGAGCCAAGTGCGGTGGGCCAAGAACGAACAGGGCAGAGACTGTAACTGAGGACACAGGGCAGGGAGTCCAGAGATCAGCCTTCATCGAAAAGAAATCAGAGGGTGTGGGGACAGAAGCAGGTCTGGAAGCAGATCTGAGCAGTGCTCTGGAGGCAGAGGCCAAGGGGTCCTGAGCAGCAGCCTTGGCTTTCTCTGAGAGGGGAGAGAAGAGAGAGGGTGTGGGAGGGAAGGGGCGGGGCTGAGAGGAGGTGGCTGTCATGTGAATGAGGGGGACTGGCACCAACCGGAAACCCAAGAGAGCATCACCACCAGCAGGGATGGTGTGCCTGAGGGTAAAGACCACAAGACTGGTCGCTCCAACCCTGTCCAGACGCCCTAGTAGACGCACAGTCACTGGATGGGCAAAGCCTGGAGTGGTAAGGTACCTGGAAGTTGTCCTTTAGAAATCGTGTCTGGGTCCAGCTTGTATGTGTCCTGAAGTCTCATCAGGGCCTTGGCGGCTCCCATTTCGTCTTCGTCAGTGGGGAAGAACTGCCGCTGCACAGACAGGTTGGCAATAAAACCTTCCAAATGAGAGTGAGAACAAGAGGTTACCCTTGATCCAAGGGTACAATTCCCCCCGGGACCAGAAAGGTACCCAGTGGAGGATTTCTGGCTAGTGCAAACTCCGTGCCCCTTCCTTCAGGCAGTTTCCCCTTCCTCCAGGAAGTCCTCCCTGATGGCTTCAGTCCATGAAGTCCTCTTTACTTCCTCCTCACTGAACGGACTGCCTGTACTGCTCATTTGGGATTGAACAAAGATCACCCCACAAACTGGTTAACATGTGGGAGTCTGAGAGTCTTGGCTCCAAAGCACTCAGTCAGCCCTGGTGGAGACAGAAGGGACAGAGGACAGAAACAGTAATTGAAAAGGACACAGGAGAAGACTCAAGAAGGACCTGTTGATCACTTAATGGAAAATGAATCACATGTAAAACCTTGGTCCAGAATCACTACTGTTGGGGGGCTGCAGATAAACAGACCGCCAGCCCACATTCCAGGTCAAGGAGCCCAAGGGACAGAGGTAGTCAACTCAGGGAACCTTACCTGGCCACTCATTACTGACCACTGGCCCTTATCATCCAGAAAGGTGATGATGACAGTCTTGGGAGGGATTTGGTGCTGTCTCCACCCCCCAGATTAGGGACTGGGGGACCATCTGGCCAGAACAAGCATTGAAGTGGGACTGCCCAAGCCCAGCATAGGACCCTGAGAGACCAAACTGGCTCTTGGTCTTGCGCTCTAGGGGACCCCCACAACTCAGACCTGCCATGAGCTGAAAGGCATGAGCTTCCTGAATGTAGTGCTCAAGACCACAGCCTGGAAACTAGGACAGCCCCTGACCTCAGACATGCCCAAGGAGGCTGTTCTGGGACTCCAAGCCCTAGCTCTTAAGCAAGATATGCACCTCTTATATCTCAGGACTCCAGGTGGAGGCCAGGCCCTCCCAAGCTGATTCAGGAGTTTCAATGCTGCCTGTGAGCTAAGAATTGGGAGGGGAACCGCAGGGCCCTTTCTTCCCTGGTCTCTTCCTCAGGGCTGCAGTACCCATGGCCACCTACTCTCAGGACCCCAGGCTCAAACACCCACTTCTAACCATGCCTAGGGACCCAGGGATCAAGAAGCTGTAATCCTGCCTTCCTCATGGCTGCCCAGTCAGGGATTCTAAGAGTCTGGAATTCAGGAAGAAGAAAACATGCCCCCAGAAAAAGCCACACCGTCAGCATGTCCGCCTCATTTCAGAGGCAAGAACTCTCAAGTCAGAGGTGAAAACAACCTATTGCTCTCTGGGCCTGTCCTGTCTGCCTTCTGGTAATTACAAGGTTTCCTACAAGAACCAGATGTTGACGGTGGGGGCGGGGTATGGAGAGCAAGATGAGGGAGCGGAAGGTCATCCCAGCAGGCTTACTCTCCCCGCCAGGCAATGCTGGCGGCGGAACAGCCCGTTCTGAGCTACAGCCCCAGGCTGGAAGACAGAGGGCTGGGAAAGGCAGCCATGGCTTCTGGAGGCGGTGAGCTCACTGGGCACAGCTCCAGCGGGGCTGAACTCACCAATCCCTCCCCAGAGGCCACCCTGCCCCCAGCCAAGCCCAGCCCAGTCTGGCCACATGGGCTGAACTGCCTCAACCAGAGACAGCCAGTCTGAAGTTAATCAGCACTCCCGACTCGGGGAGAAAAGGCAGCAGGTCCAGGAGGCTGAGCCCAGGGCTGGCTGGAGTCAGGAGGGCCCACCTCCATGCCTGCCCCACCACCTCCTGCTGAGAGGAAAATGTTCGAGCATAAAAAATACCACCACAGTAAAAGATACCAAGCACGGTTAAAGCTTTAAAGCTTTAAAAAAGTTCATACTCTGACCTGCAAATACCACTTCTAAGAATTTAAACTAAGAAAATAATCAGAGAGGGTGCCTGGGTGGCTCAGTCGGTTAAGCGTCTGCAGACGCCTTCAGCTCAGGTCATGATCCCAGAGTCCTGGGATCGAGCCCCTGTGTCGGGCTCCCTGCTCAGCAGAGAGCCTGCTTCTCCCTCTTCCTTTTTTTTTTTTTTTAAGATTTTATTTATTTTTTGACAGAGAGAAAGATCGCGAGAGCAGGAACACAAGCAGGGAGAGTGGGAGAGGGAGAAGCAGGCTTCCCGCGGAGCAGGGAGCCCGATGCGGGGCTCGATCCCAGGACCCCAGGATCATGACCCGAGCCAAAGGCAGACACTTAACAACTGAGCCACCCAGGCGCCCCTCTCCCTCTCCCTTTGCCCCCTCCCCGCCCTCTTGTGCTGGCTCACATACTCTCTCTCTCTGAAATAAATAAAATCTTTTAAAAAAATAAATAAATAAATTTAAAAATGAATTTAAAAAAAAATAATCAAAGGTAGGCACAAAGATGTATATGCACGATTGCTGATAATGTGGAAACAATCCCTCGTCCACTAATTTGACCAGTTTTATACTACATAGGTTTGACTTATTACTGTGTAGCCATTAAAATCATTTTGTATAACATTTAATGGACATTTAAAGAAGCTGGAAAATTCAGGAAATCACTGTATGCTTATGGCACAAATCTGCCTACAGATATGTTTTATTTTTAAAAGGTATGAATGGGAATGGATTTAGATGAGGCCCATAATCCCCAGCTTACGCTGGCCCCATCACCCAGCCCACTTGACTCACTTTTGTTAATTCATTTGGTCCCGCAAAGCAAGTGAGTTTGCATTCCCTGGACTATATGAATGGGTCCATTTCTTCTTGTAATGTAAATGCAAGCGTAGGAAGACTGGAATTTGAATAGTGCTTATCACTAGACAACCGGGTTAAGAATTCTAATTTTCTTACATCATTTTGTTTTCTAACTTTTCTACAAAAACACATTAGTAAAGCATGATTTAAAAAAGAGGAAATGAAAACACTAGGACAAGGCAAGAACTGATTATTCTTACATATTAAAAACAAGGACAGCCAACTGCTAGGTGCCCACAGAGAAGGGAGACGGCTACAGGCCCGGCAGGGTGCATATCCACACACTGTACATGCCCACCAACACCTGCAGACCTGTGACAGGCTCAGACGCACACTCCCCAGACACAAGCACACGGACACACCAGCTCCCCAAGCACCTGCTCACCATTCCTCACCTGCAGCTGAGTCCTGCAGGACAAGGTCCTCCAGCGCAGGCCAATCTGTGTTCAGCCGCTTCACCAGTTTATAAGCATTCACGGGGTGGGCCAGGTAACCTTCGGGGTCAGCAGCTGACTTGCTGGTCAAGGCTTCCATTTTGTTGGCCCAGCTTTGGAAACAGAGGAAAAGGAAGACGTAACACACCCACTCACACAGGTCTTGACCTATGGTAATTTCCCTGGTGAAATTCCCTTTTCTATCAAGAGGCAGTATGAATGAATAGAGCAACTGCCCACTGACACTTGCAGTCCCTTAATCTAGAAAAGAGGTAGGAACTCTAATGTATGCAAAAACGCTCTTAAATAGGGAAAAGCAGGAAGTCCTTAGCCCATGCACTGAGCCACTCTGGAGGACTGGCATGAAGTAACCTCCAGGCCAGCCCCTCGCTGCTCTCTCAAGGGGTTCCTCTTATGGGCACCCTGGATAGGTTCTGGGGGGTGGGGCCTTAGGACATCAGATACCTCTTAATCTTGGAGAGCTTGGCTTCCTCCACAAGGATATACTCCTTCAGAGATTGCACCAGGTCCTTCTCCGCATAAATTAAGTCGGTCATGTGCCCTGCAGGGAAAGAGAAAAGGGCCAGAAAGAAATGGATGAGGGACATCCATCCCCCTTCCTTGAGGCACAGAACACCAGCGCAGAGGCAAGTCCTCTGGATCACTGGCATGTCAACTCTCTTGGGATCATGGGGACTTGGGAGTTAAAGGGGACCTAGGTACTCACATGGTCCTGGCCCCCAGCTTCGTAAAACAGGGGTGGAGACTCCAAGGGGAGGGGGAGATGAGCGCACTGGGAGTGCCTTAAGGAAGAAGCCCCAAATCTCATTCTCCTACTGGCACCCGGATGGGTCATGGCACCTGGGCCTGGACATCCTAAGGGCTTCTTTGCTCAGAACCACTCTCTGGCCCTGGACAAGATGGTCAGAAAGGCCAGGGAACCCAGGAGCAGCCTGCGCTTCTCAGGGAGGAGATCCAGTTGAGACAGCTGGCTCCCAGCAAAGGACAGTCAGGTCATCAGGGCCTCAGAAGGGGAAACGGCAGCTCCGCAAGCCCCCCTTTCCCCAGAACTGGTCAAAACCAGTGGGTGAGCCATCCCACCTTGAGTGAGAACAGGCTTCGGGTGGTGACATTCCCCGGCACTTGAGCCAAGGATCTCTCAGGGAGAAGACAGTCCTGTTGGCACAACATACCAATAGAAGTGAAGACTTCAGCCTGCACATAGCCCAGGACACCAAACCAGGCCACTAGCAATGTGGACAGCCAGCGTTTCATGGTCACAGAGAGCAGTGTCTGCAAGGCATTCAGTGACAGCCACTGGATCAACAGGTGAAAAAAGCAACTTAGGTGAAGAGATACATACACATGTGCACATAAATACACCGAACATGCCAAAATCCTGACCTAGCACACAGAAACTAAGGATATTCTGCACCAGCAGTGGAAAGAGGCCAGGGTGTGCAACCAGTGATATGTGCTCAATTCTGGCCCCTGCTCCGGGAGGCCATGTGCCCTTGGGAGAGCCCCTGCCCCCCAGATTCCCGATAACCACTGGCAACATGGAAAGGCTGAATGGTGTGGGAGACAGTCCCCTCTGCTTCTAATAGTCAGTCCAAGATTCTGGCCCACTCCTTCTCATTTCACAGATTGCTTGTCTTATTTCTTTCTTTCCAATACGTGTGTCAGGACGGTGCCAGGTGCTGGGGACCCACAGGTAACATGTAGCTCCTGCCTACGAGAAGACTGAAAGTACAGGAGAAACAATGACAGACAGAGAACTTGACCCAACAGGCTGCAGGGACCCCACCCCCCAAAATGAGGTGTACAGCAGATGGCTGGCCACGAGGGGAGTAAAACTGCAGCTGGCCACAGCAAAGGCAGTGTGGGGAGCAGGCACTCTGGGCAGACATTGCTCTTCCTGCCTGCCACCTCACCAGACACTGTCCTCACTAGCAAGTCACCACTCACAAATATTTGCTGAAGATCCACATAGGCTATTCACCGAGTTAGGCACTTGGGATATAAAAATCAATCAGCCATGCAAGGCCAAAACCCTGGGATGGGCTGGACTGCTGACATGGATGCAAGACCAGCCTCTGGCTTCTCGTCAGCCTAGAAACAGCCAGGCTCGACTGTGAAAGCAGGAGGCACAAGCTGGGGCAAGCCCCACTGGCAGCAGCCCTAAGTACATAACGGGAACTTTGGACATGGTCTCCCAGCTCAGCCAGCAGCCCAGGGCACACTGGAGCCCCAGCTCTACCAGTCCCTTCTCTTCCTGCTCGACGTCAGCCAAACCCCACCAGACATATACTAAGAGAAAACAAGGACGATGAAGAAAATACAAAGGCTTCTCCCCAAGATGTAAGCCTTACCTGACAGAATTCCACGTCTGAGCTAACGCCAGTTCATCAGTATTTTGCCTGCTCTGGTTGATCAGACACACAGTCATGCCTACCATTCCTCGCCTTACAAGAAATTCCAACCCACCGTGGCTCCAGGTTAGGCTCAGAGAAGCCGAACCACAAGGTCCACCCTCAAACGGGTTCCTCTATCAGGAGGAGAGAATAAGTGAATGGCTGCTTCTGTTCATGTCCCTGCTAGATATCTGCTGAGCCATCAGCATGCCCATCGGTGCCCTAGGTGTTGGGGGCCGAGATGCACAGAATAAGAGCTTTTGGGCCAGAACCTGCTGCAGGGCACGGAGTATCAGGCTAAGGGATGGACTACGGAGTTAGGGCAGCAGAGGAAAGCAAGTCACTGGGAGAAGGTGAGCAGGCCATCGGCCCCGAGGTGGAGCGCAGGTCCTCCCTGTCCCAGCCGCAGGTCTGCTCCCAGGTCTCACATCCTCTGCATCTCCAGCCCAGGATTCCTGAAGACCCCTCGTCTTGCTTACATAAGCCCCTTTACAGGGAGTAGTGTCTGTTCCTTACACCTCAAGAGGCTTAACTAACTCAGGAAAGCACCTTCTATACGTGAAAAGAAGGAACAGTAAAATCCAGGGCCAAGAGGTCGTATCTGGACAGTGAGGGACCAGCCAACTGCCTATCAGGCTGGGATGGTGGGAGAGCAGGGCCCAGGCAAGAGACCAGACCGGACACGGTTGGAAGGAGGGGAACCCAGCGCTTCTCCCCTGCTGTCACTGGCTGCGGTGGCATACCTCTTCAGAGACGGGGTAACAAGTTCAACGGAGGGAGACACCTCTCTGTTCCTCTCAAATCCTCCCGGTGATACTGTCCAGGGTTCATGCCTTACAGCACTCAGGAAAAAGCAGCCAGGTCCCTTCATTACATGAATACTAGCTGTTATCTCTCTGGAATGTACTATCCGGCTTAGACTAAGCCCATCCACGAATACCAGCCCGGAGGCAGAGCCCCAAAGAATCACAGATGGGGTTCTGGGAAATGGCTTGCCAAGAGCCTGCGAAGTCCTGCTCTGATGGGGGGAGGGGGGAATAACTCCACTGGCCAGAGAGCTAGGTACCCCCAAGCAGCCCCTAGACTGCCACCTCAGGCAGAGATGCCCTAGAGTCCCAACATTTCTCCGGATCCTGACCCTGAACGCTAAAGGCTTTGTATAAAAAGTTATCTAATCAGGGTCAGGTTGGGAAGAGGCAGCATCCAAGAGGGACTGTCCCACAGTGTTGGGAAGCCCCTACTTGCCTTGCCCCCAGTCCAATCTTATACCTATACCCAGAGTTTGCTTAGGACAGAGCAGGTGGGAATGTGTGTGCATGCCTGGTGCCCCCCGCCCCCACCTCCACCGAGTGTCCAGTGCTGCCAAAAGCCCTTCTAGGAACCCTCAGAAATCCATGCTGAACAGACCTGGAAATGGGCAATGTCAAACCTCCTTTTATGAAAAACAAAACACAAAGTGGCACCAAGCCTGAGGAGAAAACCAACATGGAGTTTTATCTGCACTGCATCCCAAGCTTAGAACGTCTGCCCCATATCAGGCATCCAACAAATAATGCTTCACCACAGACTTGTTCAAGTTAGAAACAACAACAAAAAATTTTACAATTTTTCCACATAATGGATTGTTAAGAAGGGACACTGTATGCATATTAAGTCCCAAGCTTGAACCACAGGGAAGTTATCCAAAGCCCACCAACACCCCAGTGACAATGATTCACTCACCAGGTGACCAGCACTGTTTCTAAGCACAAGCAAATTCCAAGACATATAATCAGAGGCCCCACAAGCCTGCTCTTTGGAAAGGACATTTACAATCTGGCCAAATGGCCATGAAAAGAGGTTTCCAGCTGCAAACCAGCAGCGTCCTTAGCTTCTCCCCTTACCTCATCAAGCATGAACCTCTGCCAAGCTCCCAGCTGCAACCCAAATGCAACAGCTTGAATTTTAACAATGTATTTAACAGCCTAGAGACAGAACATGGGTTTGCTGAGTACAAGCAGGTCTTGCCTGGCACTAATCAAGAAGCTGCCTGCCTTCTGTGAAGGAGCAAAAGCCTGTCCGAAAAGGGCGCCCCCCAGTGGCCCTGCCTCCCAGTGGTGTGGCCAACTCTGGACCACCAAAGCCACAAGGACTTGTGAGTTGTGGAGAGGCTCAGGAGGCCTCGGAACTTAGGCACGTGGAAGTCCATTCAGGCCCAGAAGCTGACCCCCGGGGAGGATGGAAAGCACCCTACTCTCCTTACCTGACATCAGGCCTCAGTCATCACCCTGGTCTGAGGCACCCCCAATTCCCTCCCACAGCCATCCTGGCCCCTGCCTGTCCTGGTCTCTCCTCTCATCTGGTGTTCCCCCCTACCTCTGCCCTACAAGGCAGCCAGCATGGCTTACCGCAGCTCCTCATTTGGTCTCTCTCCCCACTGCCCTCGGAATCAAGTCCAAACTCCTTAGCCCCAAGGGCCTTTTTGACTCTGCATGACATGGTCCTACAGTCCTCTCCAGCCCTATCTCATGACTCTAGGTTTCCCAGCTTCAGATGTTACATCACATGGAAAAATATTCTTCAAGGAGGACTTTCTTCACTGAAACCTCGATGTTCACCTGTATCCATCCTTACGCTTCTCTATCAGGTATACGAACATGTTGATTTGTACCTCCCACTTAGGTACCATCAAAACCACAGCGTCTCCTGTTTCCGTAGCTAGGCAGTGGAGGAGCAGAGAAGGCTATAAAGATCAACATGCAAAGTCCAAATCGGACTTTCAGTCAGGGTCTTGGCAGAGGCTTGGCAATCTGAGTGAGACTAACTCATAAGAAGGGACTACACATGAGAACAAAATCCACAAAGCAATATATAGGATGCCTCCGATGTCCCAGTTCACAGGCTCTTGGCCTCACCAGTCCGCTGGGCCCTGGGTCTCTTGCTGGGCCTCAGAGTCAGTGGGGGTGTGTGTGCAGGCCCCATATCTCTGGCTCCTCCCGCTACTTCCAAACTCCACAGAAGTGCCACACTGGCCTCCCCAGTGGCTGCCGGAGGACTCTGGTAGTGCAACCAAGGAGCAAGAGGGAGCTAACTCCCATAAGGCAACTCTGACCAATGAAGACAGAAGACAGGAGGAGGTGGGCAGATAAACTCCCCCACCAGGCCTCTGCTGACAAACTGTTCTGTGGCATGGAGTTTCTGTAGAGCTCACCCAGACGTACCCTGCATGGCAGCTACTGTCCAGCCGACTAAAGCACCACCTTGTGTCTTCCCTCCTTCTCTCCCTCGGGTTTCTCTTCCCTTACCCTTGCTGCCCTGCACCTTCCAATAAAGCATGAAGCACCACCTCAGGCTCTGCTTTTTTGGGAACTAAGCTAACCACTACTTGTATTTCCAAAAATCTTTCATTTCTACCATCTAATCCTCACCAAAACCTTGTAAACAAGATAATCATCCCTGCTTCACATACAGAAGCTAGATAAGTGAGTCTGAGCGAGTTTCCTGCACACCTGACATGCTACCACAAATGAGTGGCAGAGCTGAGACTCAAACCCAAAACACACTTTCCATTAGCTACTGCAACCATTCTGTCCCACTCAGTGACATCCACTGTCTTACAGCACAAGGGTCTCCCACAAGGAGGAGCCCAGTTGACCTAGCAGAGCAGGCCTGCCCAGGTCAAGGTCTTTATCATGGTTCACAAATCAGGTGTATGACATGCAGGGCGGGATCCCACCAAAAGTGGACAGCAACATGGGGCCTCGAGTTCAGGTGAGCAGTCAGTCCTGCCTCAGACATCCCAGCACCCAGCAATGATCACCCAGCCCCGCTCAGGGCAAGGCAGTACAGTCTAGTCAGGGGTCAGACAACCCCAACTTCAATCTCAGCTCCACCATCACTTCTTGGCTTTGTGACTTTACACAAGTTCCAGATCTCTCTGAGCCTTTTTCCCATCTATATCATGGTGACAACATGAGGACCTACATCTCACAGGGTTGTTTCGAGGACTGAATGAGATGGCAATTATCCGTGGGCAGCCTACCATCAAGCACAGCTTATACCAGACATCAGCACCCAGGGTACTGGAATAACATCAGCAGACCTTAAGCGGCCAGCTGCCTGGCTGATCCCTGGCAAAGAAGAAGAGTCCAGTCTAGGGGACAGTGAAGATGAAAACGAGGCAGATACTGGGCAGTCTCCAATTCCCACGAGGGTCAAAAGAAATGAAACATTACTTTAGGAGAGAGCAGAGTCAGACATAATGCGGCACACTGACCATCAGGGAATAACCCTGGAACAGGTCAAATAGTGGCTCTACAGCTCATCAAGGGAAGAAAGCTCTCCAGCAAAAGGCAGGGGACCGGACTAATACTCTAGGATCTCTTGTAGTCCTACACCTCTGATCTACTGGTTTTGAGTTCCTACAAGTACCAGGCCTCAGGATCTCGGCCACACCCTGGTCCTTGGGAGTGCCAGGTACGGAGCAGGCTCTACTCTAGCAAGCACTTCCTGAAAGGTCTAGAGCACGTACTGGTCTGTGAACAGGCTCAGACAGATCCAATCTGAGCTGGAGAACTCACTCCCCAAATACTTAATCCTCTGCCAGGCAACGACACCACTTGAACAAAAACTCTCTTCTAGGGCTCCAAGAAGTCTAGTCTAGACTTTTCATTCCCCCTTCTGAGAATAAAAACTATATCCTTCAGTCCACACCGCCACCAAAAACCCCAGACACCACAGGAGCACTGGCCCTCTCACTCTAAGACAGGCTGATGTCCCACTCTGGGGCACTTCAAAAGTCCAAACGGTTAGATTCAGGCAATCTCAGTTTAACTCTTGCTCTAGCATTCTGTCTAGGCTTGCACGTGCCTGCATCAGAGCATTTCCTGCCAATGACCATCTGCATAAAATTAAACTCTTGACAGATCCCAAGAGCCAGGACACACCCACCAGCCCAATGTACACTATCGGCCAGCGTGGCCACAAATCGGCCAAGGTCTTGCGTCCAGCCTCAGAACCTCCCATGGACGAGGGAGGGCAGAGTAAAAAGCGAGGCTCTGTCAGGAAATGAGTACACCCCAGACTCCCTCACCCTAGTCATTCCTCAGGGCTGCACCCACACAGTCTCTCCTTCTGATGAGTATTCACACTCTGAGCTCCTCCTCTGCCACATGGCCAGCTGCCAGCCTGAAGCAGCAATCTCGGGGAGATTATGAGCTACCCACGAGCAAGGACAGTGTCATCACCACCACCTTCCCCTCCTCCTCTCCCTCCTAATTCCACCCCAAGGCACACTCCAAGCAGAAGCCAGGCACAAGGAATGAACAGAGATCAGCTGTGTACAGGCTAAAGCAGTGGCTAAGTAAGCACTCTCCCAGGAACCCCATTTCAGAGCCTCCTACTGGGTAAAAGGACCTATCACAAGTCACAGGCAATGCCTAGTTGTCATCATGTCTGCCTGCTGAGCTCTCAGAGAACGAGGGTGGCCCAACATGACAGCATCTCTGGGATGAGGCCCCCAGCCAACTCACTCCATCCTTGCTACGTGGCCTCCTTGGCTGGGCCGCACAGTGGACATACTTGGCCATCGGAGAATAAGAAAGCCCTAGAAGAAAAGGATTCAAAGCACACTCCTGCGAGCGTGTTGAAGTCAACAGAAGAAGCTGGGCTCTGAGTCCCGGAACCACAGTGAGAGACTGCACCCTAGACACTTCAGGGGCAGTTTAAGCACAGGCCAAAGGAGATCTCGGTTCATTTAACAGAGAACTAAATCACGGAACCTGTTGTTCCAGATGTGATACAGGGTGAGAAGCTGCAGTAGCAGCTTGCAAAAACATTCTACAAATTTTTAGGTGGACAGCGGATCTTGGCAAAATCTGGGACATGCAAGAATGCCCTCAGCTACAAAATGATGTGCCCCAACCCTTGCTCTCAGAACCAGGAGCTCCTGCAAGGGGGCTGAGGCTCTCAGGTCTCAGACAATTCACATTAAGAAGCACAAGCCTTAGGTGTCCCTCTACAGCAGAAGACACCAGCCTCAGTCTTGGGAGGCACACGAATGTTCTACACCATCCTAAAGATGTCACATTAGAATACAAGGCCAGGGGCCCAAGTGTCCTGAAGTAGGAAGTGCCCTGATACCTGCTCATGTTGAGCAGCATCCACATGCAGGACACAGTACCAGGCACTGCCCTCTCACTTGAAACTCTTGTGGATAGGGTCCATGGGTAGCCATCCCCTTAAATGTCCCTTCCTCCTCACCTTGCCTCTACTGGAGTGCCCACGTCTGCTCCCACTCACACGCGCTGTTCCCCTTTATTCAACCTTCCCTCTGACCAGTTCCAGTTCATAGATCACCTCCTCCAGGAAGCCCTCTGGCCTGAAGCACCTGTCCTCTACCAAGGAGCCACAGCCTGGTACTCCCTCCCAGCACAGCACTCACCACACTGTTCTGGACCTGGACTTTCCCAGTGTTCAGTCCGTCTGCCTCCCTGGGCTAGCAACTCCTTGCAGTTTCTGACACACAGAAGGGTCCGTTTGTTGAATTAGTTAACTAGTTACCACAGGTCTGCGCAGCTGCTGAGGAAAAACAAGCACGTTGGAAAGAGATGTCTGGGGCGGGGGACTTTCTCAACCAAGAGCCCGTTTCAGGAGCACCAAGCTGGACCCCGCCGGGCCGAGGCCAGAGACTCCCAGCCTTTTGGAGGGAGGAAGGCGGACCTCGCTAACATTAAGCGGCCCCCCGGGGCCCGGCTGACGGCCCCGCCTCCGCCTCCAACCTCTGGCAGCCCTCGGGGCCGGGCCGCCCGTTCCCGTTCCCGGGGAGCCTGACGAGGCTGGACGACCAAGTTCCCCGCCCCGCCCGGCGCGGACGCCCAGGGACCGGCAGGAAGGGCGCCGCTGACCTCCCCACCCTGAGCTCGGGAAGGGCACGCAGGCGGCGAGACAGGAACCCAGACGGGAGGAGAAACAGGGCGGAGGGCTCGGGGCTGCGGGCCGGACCGCGCGACCCTCCGGCCCCCAACTCTCGGCCCCGCGCCGGCAGCACGCACGGCCCGCCGCCCCCCGGCCGGCGCACTAGCCCAGCCCCGGCGGCCGCGGGCGGGGCGCTCACCTGGACACGCGCCTCTCCCGGCGTCTCCACAACCTCCCGCGGCGGCGCCCGGCCCGCTCGGCGCCTCCTCCCCGGGCGGCTCCGCCTCCCACCACGGCCGGGCCCCGCCCGCTTGAGCTGTTGCCACGTCCCCACCTCCCGCCCCCCGCCGGCCGGCCCCCCGCCGGCCGCCCCCCCCCCGCCCCGGCTCCGCGCCCTGACCGCCTCGGCCGGGGGCCGTCCCCACTAGCGACCCCAGGGAAGGTCCGGGCTGCAGTGCGCGCTGGGGCCGGGCGCCGGGCGCCGGGAGCGGGTCGGGGGCCGGGCGGGAGCCGCTGTCCGCGCCCTTCATGCGGCCGGCTGCTCGCCGCACGTACACCGCGCCCGCCTCCCCTCAGCCCGCTCCACCTGCGGGACTCGGCCCTCCCTCCTTCTCAGCCCCCCGGCTGCTGCTGAAGGGCCCGCCACCCGATCCTGGCGCCGGTGCGGTGGGGAGCGCCCCTGCCCGCGTGCGACTCCCCCGGCCTCCGCTCCTGCCCATCTCTTCAGGGGTCCTGCTGGGCGCACGGGCTCCTGCTGCCCCTCCCCATCATCACCACCCCCGGGTTACAGGGGGAGGGGGGGCCACGCGGGCCGAGGGTCCGGGTATCAGTGGACTGGACAGACCAGTGGAGAAGACCTTGAAGAAGACGAGAGACCTGGGGTCCACCCACAGGACCAAGCTCCCGAAGGGATTCTGCCTGTCCCCAGCTCCTGTGTCAGGCACTCCTCCTGGTGACGTGTGTGTGTGTGTGGGGGGGGTGATGGGTTGATGAGAAGTGGACCAATCAAAGACTGAGGTGGGGGGTGGCATATTGGGGCCAACTCTTGGTTTGCCCAAACCTTTTCATTCAACAGGGGCCAAAAACAGTGGACAGCTCATTTACCTAGGCTGGTGTGTGAGGGAACGAAGGCTGGGATGCAGCAAAAATCTCAGCCTGAGTTGGAGGAGGCCCTGGCCGGCCGAGCAGGTTCCCACGCCTGCTCTGTGAACCTCTGGTCATGAATGAGGGGAAACACGGTCTGAGAATCTCATCAGGGAACTAGCCCGGAGTGGGAGGTGCCCAGCCTCCGCCCAGGCTGTGTGGGGATATTCCCTATGGCACTCTGTCCAGGCTGGCCGCCCAGCGGTGCAGAAGGCGCGAGCACACACACAGAACTACACACCGCACATATAAAATAAGGAACAAGCCACTGTTCCGGCCTGCGTCGGCCACCAGCCAGAGCTCAGCTAAAACCAAACAGAAACCTTCCTGCATCTGCTACATCCTGTTATGCCACTGGAGCCTCCCTCTGTCTGCCCAGACTTCCCCGACCTCTCCCCAGTCTCAGGAGCTTGCCCTGTGGATCATCCTTTGTCTCTGCTGAAGGTTCAACCTCCCCTTCTCAACTGGATCCTTCCCTTGACCTCTAAATATGTTTAAGACTCTAGTGTGGAAACAAAACCCTCATTTGACTCCACCAGCTACTGCAATGTCTCTCTCCTTTTCCACCACAGCAAAATCCCCAGAAAGAACAGTCAGTCCTTGTCCTCACTTCTCCCATCCTGCAGGCTCCGACACTGGGCTTTCTGGTGTCCTCACAACACCAAACCAGGTCTCAGTTAACTCTCTGTAACTTCCAAGTCTCAAAATTCAATAGCCTCTCTTCAGTTCTCTGCGGAAGCCCCCCGCAGCATTTGACTCCCCAGCACTGTGTGACCACTGCCTCCCTGGACCACTCATTTTCCGTGGTTTCCATGGCCCTCTCTTCCCACCACTTGCCCCAGCTTCTTCCCTCCCAGTACATTCTCCCCTCCCCCTCTCCTCCTTACTCAGTAAAGTTTGGGGGTTCCTCAAAGCTCAGGCCTAAGCACCCTACTTTCCTCCTCTCGGATTGCTTCCTTTACACAGATGGCTCGCGTATTTCTCTACACTTGCCCTGACTCCCAAGCTGCAGACTCCTATGACTGCCTGCTGAGCCCACATCTCAATGGAGTGTCCACAGCCACTTCATCCACAACATGCCCACCAGTGAATTCATGGCCTCTCTCCTTCTCTCCACACGGCCAACATTCCAACTCCCTGCTTCAGTGAAGGAGCCACCCTCCATCAGGTACCTAACCAGAAGCCTGGGAGTCACGCCCAGCATCTCCCCCTGCCTTGCCCCCAGACCCTGTCTTTCCAGATCCCGTGTCCATTCACTTTTACCACCTAAATCTCTCTCCAATCCATGCACACTGCAGCTATGGTCGTCTCCTCAAAGTTCAGGTCTGAACCCATCACTCCCAGCTTAGTAAACTGCATTGTTCTTAGGAAAAATCCTAGAGGTGGTCTGTAAGGCCCCACATGGCTTGGGCCCTGCTCACTTCTCTAGTTAGGCTTGACCTTCTTCCCATCCCTCTAACGGACCATTCTCCCTCCCCACCATACTCCCAGGCCTTTGTACATGCTTTTCTTTTTGTCTAGAAAATCTTCCCTCCTCTCCAATTAAATCCTTCCCTTACCCTTAGAGGGATTTTTCTCATGTCCCTGGCCAAGTCAAAACCTGCTTTAACAGCCTCCCATGGCCTATGTGCTTTGTAACACTTGCCACAGTCGATATAGTTGATTGATTGTTTGACTAATGTCTGCCTCCTCCACCAGCCTGGGACCCCCAGGAGTACATTAACTGTGTATTTCTGCCCATGATCATATCATATCCTCAGCTCCGATCACAGAACTGGGCTCAATAAATACTTGCTGACTACATGAAGGGATGGGTGTCTCTTTAATGCCTTGCTCCACCACACACCAGTAGCCAAAGGCCTGGCTAAGTCCTCCACAGGCCCTCAGAGTCCTGCACCCCACTCATCCCTTAGTGCCTGAATCTTCTGTCTCTTATAAGGATACTTGCCATCGAATTTAGGGCCACCTCGGTAATCAAGATGATCTCATCTCATGATCCATAACTTAATTACATCTGTAAAGTCTTTCTTTCCAAATAAGTTCACACGCACAGGGGCCAGGTATTAGGACATGATCATAACTTTTTAGGGGCCAGCATTCAACCCACTACCCCTGACATTCCAACATGCCCTCCAGGGACTACTGGGCCTGGGTGAAATCCATGACTCTCAGGTCTGAATCTCTAGCCCAGGCCCACTCCAGACCCACATAGCCTTTTATTTGCAGCCTCTTGATCGGTGAATTAATTATCTCCCCACACCCTACCCATACCCCGGTGCTCTTTCTGCTCCAGCATTTTCTGTATCCCAGTCATTTCTATCTTTTTCCCCACCACATTCCCCCATTATAGATGTCACCTGGTAGACTAGACTTATCTGCCCACCACCGCTATCCCAAGGGAAGAACCTGGTGTCTCTCCAGGAAGGTTGTCAAAAATACTTGGTTACCCCCTACTCAGTGGACAGGGAACTGGATGAGGTGTGCGGGTATAGCACTTGCCTCTAAGCAGAGGCCTCCTCAGACTGCCCCTGATTTCCCCGGCTTAGCAGTGATCTCAGGGGAAGGGGAGGGGGGCAGGCTGCACTGCTCGGCACTGAGGCCTCCCTGGCTGCTAATGACTCTTACAGACCCTGGCAACCACAGCAGCGATGGTGGCCTGGCCTGGGCCCACCATGAAATTCCCCAGAGCAGGGCCCCTGGGGCCAACCAATGCTGCACAGAAGGCCTTGTATATGTTGACGCACATCTGTACATTGCGGCACATTCAGCATACAGCTGTCCACTGGACTCTGGGACTGCCACCCTCCCCACTCCAGTTTCTTCCCTTTGGGGACTGAGGAGAGACCGGGTGTCTCAACTGAAGGGTACTTTGACTCCAGGCCGGCAACAGAGGGTAGGAGGTGCAGTTTGAGTGGGGCCACCTAGTGGTGGCCCTACTGCTTCAGAAACAGGGTCTCCCAGGTACTCTGGTCCAGGACCAGCTTGGTGCATGACCCCGGAGACAGGAGAGAGAAACTGGCAGAATCCCCAGGACTCTGTGGGGCCAGCCCTGGACAGAGCCAACTAGGTCCCCAGAAAGTGCTCCCCAAATCCCTGAGCCCAAGTGGTGCATACAAAAAATAAGACAGGCCCCATGGAAAGTCCCTTGCCAGCTGCCTCCTCCATGGATCTCTGCAGCCCAGAAGAGCAGAGCCACCACAAGCTGGGCTGTCATTATAGGGTGGAGAGAGGAGTCCCAGGGCCTTCGGAGCTGTAATTACCCAGCAGGTCCAGGGCAAGCCCTTGTGATAAAGATAGCAGGCTTACACTTTGGCTTCCCTCCTCACTGCGCACGCCTCCCTTCCATCTTTGGCAAGAAGCTTCAGCTGGTGCAGATGCCCAGAGGGCTGGGAGTTAGCTAGGTATGGTGCTTACAAATCCTGATATTTTGATATATACAGATAAATCACACTTTTAAAAGTCATTATTATTGTAATACAGAGGCCCCTTATTCCTCCTCCCCGAACCCTGAGCCCAAGTTGAGATTGGGTGGGGATTATGGATGAGCAAGGGTTGGGATAGCTATTGGACATCTGACTTAGCTACTTTCTAAAAGGCTGAGAGTGCAGTGGTTTTACTATTTTTTTTAGGCCTTGTCAAAATGTCAGGGAGCCAGTAGAGAAGGTAGGGGAGAAATGAGAGGGAAGGCTGCAGAGGTCCCAGGGGCAGATGACCTGGGAAGAGCACTGGGGGGTTTAGGAACAGGGCCCTGAGGAGAGAGGAGGAGGAGAAGCAGAGCCTGGAGGTGATCAGCAGAGAGCTGGTGCAGTCTAGATGACAGCTGATGGTGACCCGAACTGAGAAATGGCAATGCATCCAGGGAGAAGTGGGCAGACTTGAGAATTATAAAGAGCTAAAATAGGAAGGGCTGTGTTCGTTCACTCATTTGTTTATTCAACAAACATTTAAGGGCGCCTGGGTGGCTCAGTCAGCTGAGCGTCTGACTCTTGATTTCGTGGGATTGAGCCCCACATCGGGCTCCATGCTCAGTGCAGTCTACTTCGGATTCTCTCTCCCTCTCCTGCTCTCTCTCTCTCTCTCAAATAAGTGAATAAGTAAAATCCAAAACAAAACAAAACAAAAAAACCCCAAACATTTATTAAATGTTCTGCTCCCTATTCTGAGCTCCTTTTTGGGGATGAGGACCTAC